TCCAGCGCCTTCACCACAGAGTCCATTCTGTGCAGAGAGACACCTGTTAGCTTACCTTCCCCTCACTGCAGCTAGCAGATAAAACACCCAGACTACGCTCAGTGCTACCTAATTACTTACTTAATCTATTACTTTGCACTAAGTATCGTGCATGAGTTGTCTGCAGATGAAAAAGTTACATATTAATATAACCACAAAAAACTAAAACATTAAAAAACTAAAAACCTGTGTGGTGAGAGACTAACGTCTGGCTGCGAGCACCTTTAACGCTTACTAAAGTGTCGAAATAGCATTAAACTGTAATATCTTCAGGCTTCGTCGGAGACTACTCACTGAAAAAACTGCTTTGACATGTCTTTCCTGCAGGCCTGTACAGATTTCACGCTTCTTTTTCCAGGAAACACCCGAAGCGTTATGCTGAGGTTAGCTCATCATATCCACTGTGCTCCCTAACTTAGCACGCGAGATCAGAGTACTGCGCACATGCGTCACACACACCATACTCTCTCTCCATCTCTCTCTCTCTCTCTGTGTATACATACATACATAATATAATGTAATATAAACGTACCTTTCTGTGGCGTTATCTCCGCAAAATTCTTCGTAGGTCATATTGCACATCAGGTAAATAATCCGAGGCAAACTGCAGGTCTCGCTACCAGTAATCCTAAAGTGCTAGACAAGCGCGCACGAGCTCCCCACCAGAATATGCCGGGTACGAAGCCGCACGAGCGAAGATAGTCTCTCATACCCCTGTTCATTTGCATACGGACTCCTATTGGCCCGACAGCGGCGTGAGCGCGAACTTCAGAGAGAAAGCGCACCTCTTCTAGCTTCTAATTTGCATACGGAGTCCTATTGGCCAGCTACAGGAAGCAGCGTGCGAACTAGCGCTAGGCCTGGGCGTGTCTTATAGCGCCTAATTTGCATACGCGGTCCTTATTGGCCAACTACCACAATAAGGTAGGCAAAACACTCACTGTATCCTGCGGGCTTTGGCTAAATGACTGTAAGTATAATTAGACTTTCAAATCACCTTATTTTTAATCTTAGGATATAATGTAGAGAACCTGGAATTCATCCATCCTTGATATTTAAAAATATAGCCTATCAAATGTGTTTCGCAGTCGACGCGCACTTGAATAGCGCACCACTTTCCCCTGTAAAGCTCCAAAGACTAATTATAAGCCTCCAGCGACACCTTGTGGCTGATTAGAGAAGTGCGCATGTTATTTTTATGAAACGTTTTATGACAGCAGTCCACGGGCGAGATGTAGGTTCAAACATAAATTTAAGAATCTGTTTAGCAGGCACAGGGGAAGCCAGGCATTCATTTGTAAATGGATATGAAACACAAACGAAACTTTAATTAATATATTATTATTATTATTATTATTAGTCATTAATTCATTCATTGACTGTACCCGCTTATTCAGTTCAGGGAAAAGCCCTAACCCTAATCCTTATATGGGGGTTTAAGGGGGATTTATGACCAACAAGAAAGTCATATGCCTGGGTAATGATTGTTGTTGTTGTTGTTAGGTCGTCGTTAGGTCGGATGTACATTATGCTTATAGTGCGGCTCTGGTACATACACCATAAGCATTTCAATGTACATACGACGTGACTTAACAACAGCAACAACAATATAATACAATATTGTCAAATATATACAAAAGTGAGTGATGTAAACAAGACAAAGTACTGCACTGCACCATTATTATTATTATTATTATTATTATTATTATTATTGGGTCGCTGTAGTTTGCCCTTCCTAAAATGGCGGATGTTTGGCTCCACTGTTCCTCGCGTGTCCGTGGCCGTAAATGTTCCTGAAGCGAGAAAGCCTCGCGAGCGCAGCGGTTCCGCGCGACGTGGCGACTCAGAATCCTCGTGTGTAAAGCGTACAGGGATGAAAACCCCGCGCGCGTGCACAGAGCAGGGCAGAGTTGTAAGCATGCTGCATCTGATGTGTGTCAGCGTGTTTGGGTGTGAGCGCTTTTCAGTGTGGGGAGCTGCACAGCTGCTGCAAGTTTGAGAAGAAGAACAGCTGGATTTGCGCCTGACTTGTACTCTTAATTAGTCTTTGGAGAGAGAAATCAGGGTGTGTGCAGTGTGTGTGTATGTGTATGTTTGTGTATCTGCTGTACTTTGACTCTGTGAGCAGGTCCATGGGTCACTGCAGTGTGAGGCTGTGATTTGGACTGTCATGATGTGGCAATGTGTGTTCACTCGGAGACACAGAACAGGAACTTCTGCTGAACTGTGAGTGTACACATCTGGCGTTCTCATTCCTTAACATTTGCTTAACTCTGCTCGCACTCTGCTGTTTGTGGAAGGTATGATGTAGTTTGGTTAATTATTATAGCTTTATGTTTTTGTGGACACTGTCAAAGAAAGAATCTTTCAAGTGAGCATTTTATCATTCTCTTTTTCTTGAGTTAATGAATCAAGTTGTGCCTATAAAAGTTTTTTTTTTTTTTTCCCTTAGGGACAGACAGTTTGTATATTCTCAAAGTCAAGATTTAATTTTCCTCATTTCCCCCTTCCTTCATTCCTATGGTGTTTTGTTTTGCTTCACTGTGTTTATGTGACTCACACACATCAATAGGTAGTTTATGCAGCTCTTTCATTTTTGTACCTAAACTCCTGAAATATGAAGTGGTAATTCAGGACTGCTGCAGTGTTTGACTACAGACAAGCGTGAGCAGGAAATAAACACCAAGGGTGTTTCTGGTCTTCTATATAATCAATAATCAGTTGTTATCAGAGAGAAGCAGAAAACAAAGACAACAACTTGAGGAATATTCTATTCTATTCTATTCCAATAAATGGTCTGTTTTGAGAATGACTGAAATTGTAATCATAATACACTATAAGCCCATGTTCCTTCACATTTATAACTCTTTGCACCAGATTGTGTGTGTGCCTTAGACTTAGCTTAAGCTGACTGAAACTGTCTTTGTCTGCTGTCTCAATGTGTTTGGGAAGCATATGTGTGATGTGATTGGTCAGATAGTTTATAAGAATGGTATTTAATGCTTTGGAGTAAATAAACACCAATATCTAATATTAGCCAATTTCATAAGCTCAGGCTTATTGTTGAATGTAGTTTTGTGTAATTCACTGTATAAGCCAAAAATTGGTCTTAAATTACGATTCATTTTTGCAGCTCTATTCTATTCTATTCTATTCTATTCTATTCTAGGCAAATGTACAAAACAGTGTATCAGTAGAATAACTGATCATGCAATGCATGAATATTCTGGTGTTATTCTTGCTCTACAGACATAAGAACAACAGACTTCAACCTTGATGCTTGGTGGAATTTATGTCACCAACAGGGAGAAAGATCAGATTTCAGATGATGAAATTATTTGTGCTACATTCTGTAAAATTGTTTGAAACTGTTCTCTAAGTGCATATTAATGCAGTAAGCCAAAGCTTATGTTTAGAAAGCTTCTTCAATAATTGTATTCTTTTTGCATTCAGTAGGACACAAGCCATCATTTGTAATAACTGGAGTCCCTCCAATGCTCCCAAAATGACTGAAATATTATGTTCTAATGAGGTTGTTCTCACAGGAGTGTGTCTCTGCAGTGTGACAGGTTACTGTGGCTGGCTTTAACACTGAGCTAATAATGGAGCCTAGAGGGCAGAACTGGAATGAACAGTGGCCACAGAACCAGCGCTCAGATCACAGAGTCAGAGATGAGCAGTACAGGTCTCATCACACAGGAAAACAAGGCCATTACCCTCCTCCAGATGGACGGGACAGCGAGAGACGATGGTATGCTCCAGATCCGCGCTACATGTACTACATGAGCGGTCCTCCTCCTGCAGAGTTTAGCAATGCATACAGCAGCCAAACATACACACCCGACCGAGCTCGATCACAGTCCAGGTTAGTACAGTGATGTGTGTTTATGGTCTCTAATGCTGCGATTACTACTAGTGATACTTATCATATAGCTACTTTTTTGTCTTTGTGTATTTTATCAGATACACCTACCGTATAGGTGCAACTATGCACTTCTGTAGCTATACACAATTTTCAGCTCACCTCTGCCCTAGTAGTCAATGTAAAGGGACCAGCACTGAGTTACTAAATTACTGTAAGTACGAGGAGTGTGTCTCTAACTGGTATGATCTGTTTAGGCAGGGATATGATTATCCCCCCCAGAGCTACTGGGACTACAGGAATGACCACGGCTATTACGATCATACTTACTACAGAGGCCATTATGGATACCCAGGTATTCACATAATCATGCACCAGGTTGGTTCAAGTAGTTTAAATGATTAAACACCAGAGTGCCTGCTAAATGAAATTTGCCAAATCCACTCCTGTTAATGCAGCAGTCTCAGATGCCAGTGGATGGCCGGTGCAGGGATGGAGGACAGAGGGGAGTCAGGAGTGGTCAGGAGCCACATACACACATCAGCATGGGTCAGGCCATTTTCCATTAATTTACAATGTTTCTCTGTACGTAACAGGTGTGCAATCATGCAGCAGGGATTCTCTGGGCTGCTCCTTCTTTATATTCACATTGATTTATTTGGCAGATGCTCAACCATGAGTCCAAATCGACTTTAAGTTAAAGTCGAAGTTAAGGCCCAATACAATTCATACAAGCCATACACAAAACCGAGCAGTTACTCAAGGGCACAACAGTGGTTATGTGGCATTCCTAGGGTTCAACTCTCTCACAATTCTCCAATTTCTAGTTCAGAACCTTAAGAGCTCAGCCTCTGTTGCCGCCTCTGGTTTATTTGTGCAGCCAGCAGATCTGAGTTTTTGTACTATATGTTATGGAAATATAATCCCTAACATAATACTCCTACTAATACTACTGCTACTGTTTAAAGATTTTACTGAATCATGTAAAATCAGAGAATAATGAATAAAGTTCCTGTGGCCCTCAGCACAGAAATATATTCTGTATATTGAAAAACTTTAGTCGCATTTCTATTAAATAAATTAATTGAGAACATATGGGTCCCTGGAGGACTAGTGGTTAAGCCTCGCCGCTCTCACTCCCGCGGCCTGGGTTCGATTTCCCGGCCAGGGAACCAACTCCAGCCACTGGGGTTGCACAAGACAGTGCACTCCCAGAGCTGGTCCCATGCCCGTAAGGAAGGGCATTCAGTGTAAAAACTGTGCCAAATCAAATATGCGGGCCAATGATCCGCTGTGGCGACCCCTTACAGGAGCAGCCGAAAGACGAAGAACAACAACAACAACAACAACAGCAAATCAATTGAGAACATATACCTATACTGTTGGAGTAGGGTTTCCCAGCTCCAATTTAAACTATGGTTTTGTCTGATTTACTACAATCAGAGTAAGACCAAAACTGTAAAATGAGACTTGTTGCTGATCCATTCCTTTAACTTAATCAATCAGGTACGAGCTCAGAAGAGACAGTGGACAGTTTGATGGCGGTGTTTCTGTGAGAGAAAGCATGGACGCCAGGAACGAAGCTGAAGAGGTTAGCCGCATCCTCACTGTCCAAATACCACCATGTCTTATTTATGCATAATTGTGAACACAGTTGTGAACATAATTGTGTGTAATGTTACGGTATATTAGTTATTTCTTATGCCTTTAAGTTGTTATTTAATAAGTGGTACAAACTGTATTTGTGCAATGTGAAAAGTCAGCATCCCAAAGCACTCTCTATCTTGCCTTGTGTCGAGCTCTCAGCTTAAACCAAATGTACTGTATCTCCTGCAGGTGTCTGAACCTGGAGGCCTGGCCAGCTCTAAAACCTCCGGCCTGTCATCCAGCACCTATGAACTCAGCCAGTACATCAACGGAGAAGAGCAGAGCAATGCTCCACCTCCACTTCACTCAGGTAGATGTGGGCAGAGTAAACATGCATAGAATAAACATCATATCATTATATCTGCTGGTAGATCAACAGAACAAACTTAGGTTTCTGATCAGCACACGTACTCACGTCCATTTTTATTCAAGATGATTTAGAATCCAATTTAAGCACATAGCTGAGCAGCCGAAGGTTGACTTCCTTGCTTAAAGGAATAGTCCAGTGTTTTTCAACCTAATTTCTATATCCGTAGCATGTACAATTACCATAAACAATAATTGCTGAAAAATAAATAATAATAATACATACATATAAAACTTCTTTATTCAACACTCACTTATAAAGGATGCCTAAGGGCAGTTGTTGAGGCAGTGAATGCATTTTTATGAGAAACCTATATAATAACCTACATATTTTCATAGAAGGCGGTCATGTATTTGTAAATTGAGTTCAGAAAGTACATACAATAATTTATTCTTCCATATGGGACTGCTTTTTTAGAGGGAAGAATCAGTGGTTAGTGATCACCAGTCAGTGTCTTAGTTTCAGCTGATGGTATATGAAGTACCACCAAACTTTTTATCATAATCGTATAGTTCTGGTTTTTGGGAAGATTGTCAGGTATAGAGCAGCTTCTTACATCTAAAAATGGCTGGCCACCCATAATACATGACATGTTTGGTTGAATTCTTGCATTTGCGTCAATCCAGAGCCGAACCGCAATACAACTGTGTTAGAGTTCAGTTGGAAGCTGACTGAGAACACCTCAGGCGGTCTCGGACTGGTTGGTGTGGTCCACACAGAGTGTGATTGCTGTGTTCTCACCTGCCCAAACAGACTGTACTGAGAGGGGAAAAAAAAGTGCAGCATATGTGAAAGCACCCTAAGAACCAAACAGCAGCTCTGTATTAGTCCAAGAATTTGAACTCAACCTTCTAGTTACTAAAACGAAACCTTAACCACTGAGCTACCACTATTCTCATTTTTCATTGGTGCTCTATTTGTGCATCTTTTTTGCTATTACAATCAGAGGCTGAGTCCAAGTCAGTGGTTCCTCTGAAGTTCTGTGTTCCTCATGTGGCTTTGAGCTTTGGACCTGCAGGGCAGCTGGTGAGAGTCACTCCAGCTTTGCCATCACATGGAGAACCTGCTCAGGTGGAGCTCCACAGCCTGGAGGTACAAAAGCATGAGTCAGCTGTTACTGAAGCAGCTCTTAATGAGGCTAGGACAATTGTATTCAGCAGTAAAATGTGCTTCATAAGGTGACTTCAGGGCCAGAACTGGAAAGTGTTGATGTAATATGTATGATGTGATGTAACAAGTTGATGTGTACAGGTTATACTGAGTGACACACGTGAGCAGAATAATATGAGAGGCTTTCCTGGACCACTGGCGAGGTAAGTCCCGAGTTTGCAGTTCTGGTCTTTAAGAATAAGTCTGCTCTGAATTTACTGCAGTTAAATAGAGAAGACTTTTATTAACTGTAGTCAGTCTGTTGCTTTCTTTACTTTATTGCAATTTTTCCTTTTCCAATTTTTCCTTTTCCAGTTTCCACAATCTTTATAGAAACTAGGAGATCTGACAATCTCATTAAAAATATCTGAATTAGTATTAAACACATGACAGCCAGGTTTTATTACATCATAAAACATAAGAGCCTATCAGAATCCACTATGCAAATGCAGGACATATAGCACCAGAGAATAGGGGGCAGGCATGTGTAGAATTGTATATGTGTTTCTATATTATATAGAATATGAATTTTTCATCAGGGTGAAAGTGAAGGTACTTTTTTTTTTTTTTTTTTTGGCCATTTTCTGTTGTCTAATGACCATGTCAAGCAATTCATTATTCTACATAGAAAATTATGGTCCTCGAAACAAGCTTTGGGTAAATAAATTCCCTCACAAAGACTTTTATCCAGTTTCAGCTACAAGACATTCTTGTACAACTGTATGTGTTAATATAGCTACTTCCTTGGTTACACTGTATAAAGTTATTTATTCTTACAGTGGATTTAAAAGTTTACACACCCCTGTCAAAATGGCAGGTTTTTGTTAAGTAAAAAAATGAAAGTAAGATAAATCATGTCAGAACTTTTCCCACATTTAAGGTGAAATTGCAAATTATACAAGTAAAGTGAACAATGATCATAAACCTTTTTAGGGGGGAAAAAAAAACTTACAGTAACCTAGTTGCGTAAGTGTGCACACCCCTAAACTAATACTTTTTTGAAGCGCCTTTTATTACACCACTCAGTCTTTTTTGGGTAAGAGTCTATCAGCATGGCACATCTTGACTTGGCAATATTTTCCCACTCTCTTACAAAAACATTCTAGAGCCATCAAACTGTGAGGGCATCTTCTGTGCACAGCCCGCTTCAGGTCACCCCACAGATTTTTAGTTGGAGTCAGGTCTGAGCTCTGGTTAGACCATTCAAAAACAATGATGTTCTTTTGGTTAAGCCATTCCTTTGTTGATTTGGATGTATGCTTTGGGTCATTTTGCCACATTGGGGTGGTTGAGTTGGGCTTGTATGTTTTTGAGAGAAAGGGCGTCTAACCTCCCTACCCCATAGCCCAGATATGTGAAGAATATGAGATATTGTTATCACATGCAGAGAGTAATCAGTATTTGTCAGATATTCCTGCAGCTCCTTTAATGTTGTCGTTGAACATGAATGTTGAACACCATACCCAAGGTGAAGCACGGTAGTGGAAGCAGCATGCTTTATGATTTTGATAATGTCACTGTGGTGCTCCATTTTCTCCACTTGTTGATGATGGAACTTCACTGTGTTCCATGGTACATCTAATGTTTTGGAAATGCTTTTACATCCCTCTCCTGATCAATATCTTTCAATAAGTGAGATACTGTACATGCTTTGTAAGCTCTTTGCAGACCATGGCTTGTCAAGAAAATGCTACAGAAACAGCCCTTTATTTGGGGTTAATCAGAATAATTTCATGATGAATGTTGTATGATATTTACTTTTGAACATGAGATTGATTGTGATTGGTTCATTCTTAACACAGCCACATCCCCAATTATAAATGGATGCGCACACTTATGCAACCGGGTTATTGTAACTTCTTAATTTTCCCAAGATAATTGTTTGATTGTTTTTAATTTAATTTCATTTAAATTTATACGTTGTAGTGAGGGTGGGAAAAGTTCTCTCATGATTTATCTTAGTTTAATTTTTTTTTTTTTACTTCACAAAAACCTACCATTTTAACAGGGGTGCGTAGACTTTTTTTTACATCCACTGTATCTTAATATCTAGTATTCTTCACTCACATCTGCATTATCTGTGTTTCTGTACATTGAAAAGCAGAAATGATTTACCACTTGTTGACAATTCTCAGACCTGCGATTAACAGCTTAAGAATTATATATGCAATGTAGTGGAGTGAAATAATGATTTCGTAAATTATAGTCTCCACAATGACTCAAACAATCATTCAAACAAGCATGGCTCTATATAATCCCAGCATAATTATAAGATGCTTTCTGTTAACTACCAAACATTACCATTAGGCTTTTACATTTACAAGTTTAACAAGATTTTTACATTTACATTTTGAAATGCATTTTACTCTACATATTATTCTTTCGTGTAGGGAGGATCTGCATAAGGTGGATGTCATTAACTTCGCCCTGCAGATGGCTGATGCTTGTCTGAAGGATGAAACCACTCTCAAGGCTTCCTCTTCCTCCCTCCTGTGGCATCTGCTGGTACTGCTGTGTAGACAGAATGGGGTAAGTAGGACCTTCTTACTGACATGCTAAACCAGTAGTGTGGAAGTGATAGTTTAGCAAAATAAAGTTGTTTGAGGCAAGTATGTGATGATTTAGGCATACATTCCATTATTTCTTAGAACATTACCCTCATAACCCCAGTGCAAACCTGATGAAGCAAACCTGAGACATCAAACCTGTTTTGTTTAATTGATTACATATGGGGTAACAGAGAAATTCGTAAATTTCGGTGACAGTGTGCATGTTGTGCAGAGAATCGTGGGTTCAGATATTGCAGAACTCCTGCTTCGAGGAAGCCACTCTGTAGGAGAGTGTGATGGAGATGGCGAGCAGTCAGATGTGGGCAGCCTCATTGATCTGAATGAAACTCCAACATCAGAAACAGCGAGCTTCAACACTTCGGACCTCCTAACTGGAAACCCACTGAGTAATGAAGAGGCTTCAGAACAAAACATCCAGAACTACACCAAACTCCTGCTG